AATCTCAGAAACACCATTCTGTGCATCTATCTTTAAGGGATCACAAAGAAAATATAAAAAGCTATGAAGTTATTGCACTGTTTAATTGTGGTTTCATTATTAGCATTTTGCCTGTGTAGTGTGCTCAGTGTTCATTAAACACCCATTAACATGAGTTTTGTGATTTGTTTTGTTGTGTCACAGGAAGCTGCCAAGGCCATACTTTGTCGTTCATATGAGTATACATCCACAGTTTAACATATAATTGCATTTATCATCACTTTATGTGTGCTCCAAGGTAGAATTTCAGTAGACAATTCATGTCTGCCAATACACCCACAACAGGGATGACAAAGAGGTTTTCTGCATTCTTAAACATTTCCTTTGAATTTCCTTCTTTGTACTCAAAGGTCATTGGCATTTCTCAACATGTTTATAAGTATCACTTATTCTGTGACATCTAAACTAGAGCCCATAACCATCTTACAGCAGATGATTGACATTTAACTGCTGCTATGAACGTCCTTATTAACCTCCTTTTTGTGCATTTTGAATTAGTTTCACACTGAATGCCCATAAGAGGTTCATGCATTTAGTGCTGCAGCTACGCTTTAATTTAATTGTTCAATAAGGAGGAATGAATACCAACCCCAGCTGCTGTTTAAATCTGTATAGCAAGGCAGATCACATGGTAGTAATTCTAAGCATTTAGGCATGGTGACAGACTAGTAGTAGTGGTAGTCTGAGTATTTAGGGAACTCCTGATCCACTGGAAGTTTAACACACAAACACCTCTAGAGATTACACAGAGTGATCGGAAAAACAGAAAATATCAAGATAGCAGCAGTTCTCGGGAATCCATCCTGTCTTGTGTCAACAGTTCAGGCTGTTGGTGGTGTTGCTGTGAGAGATATCTTTTGACAACTTTGTACTAACGCTGTGCAACTTAGTACCGAGCATCGCCTAAACTCCATATGTAAAGGGATGGGCAGCTCAAATAATCTTAAACTGGCTCCTTGAACATGACAGGGAGTTCACTGCACACAAATGGTCTCCACAGTCACCTGAGCTCAGTCTACAAGGGCACCTGTGGCATGTGGTGAAACAGAAAATTAATATCATGGAAGTTGCAGCAACTGTGAGATGCTGTCATCACGATCTCAGGGGAATGTTTCCAGCATCTTGTTGAAAGTATGTCATGAAGAACGAGGGCAGTTCTGAATGCAAACAGTGTAAAACCCAGCACAAGCAAGATGTAGCCTAATTGTGCTGTCAGCGTTAATCTCGTTAAAATGACGTTAACGCCATAACCGCATTAACACGTCAAATCTCCTTTAGCAAGTTAACGCAGATCGCATATGCGAGAGCTGCACGACATCAATGCGTTTGTGCCGTGCAGTCCCTCCCACATCTGATGAAATCTCACAAGTGTTAGCTTTATTTTGATACCAAGGATGTTTACACAGAGTTTGTAATTGCAGAGAAATAGTCGATTCGTTTTTGGGCAAGAAGCTCAGAAAGCGCTTTGAGGCTTAACAGGTTAAATAAAGTAGCTTTAGACTTTGGCATTAATTCAGAGAGCACAGAAATAATACCACTAATCAAGGAAGAGATAAAGCTGAGTAAAAAAAATTCATTAAATGTTTTTATGAATGAAATGCTATTTTTGTTGGATTATACCACTACTACTAAACAGTAAATACTCCTGAGATTAGAGAGGGTTTATACTGGAATTTT